TTACTCGTCGATCCCATCAATCAAAACCTCGTGGATGCATTCTCGTGGATACGTTCTCGTGGATGAGTAAGAACATCCATACTACATTAATACAATCTTTAACATAAAAAACGAACCTAGGAACAAGAAGTAGAAACTCATGAAACAACATTTTAAGGATCAAGAAGTCACCTCCCCAAAAATTTTGAGACTCTTCAGTGTATTGGCATATGTATCTCTTCAGTGTATTGGCATATGTATTTATCATTAGCTCCAAGAATCTGTGCTCCAACACCAGTGAATCTTGGTCCATATAGAGCTACTTCCANTGGTGACAATCTCTTNCTAAACGCTGGATTCTCCACANAATACATAAAACAAAAACTCTCCTTCTTCTCTGGGATCGAAACCCTGAAATACCATCCCTCGAAGAACTTCCGAGCTGTTCCATTGAAATGGTACCTGAGTTTGAAAACAACTTGTAAACCTCAAAAACATAAACGAAAAAAACCTATATACTGCAATTACGAGAATTCACTTCACAATTAGTCTGCAATTGGTGAGACATTGAAAATAATCAAACAGCGAAATGAAGCCAGAAACACAAATTGGAAGTTGAAACAAAAACTGGATAAAGAGAATTCGTATTCGAACGGGTCAATTTACCCACTGTGAGGAGTCTGGAGCTCGCGATTGGGCGGAGTCGGGACATAAACAGATTTCACAGAGATGGCGGCGTTCTTGTCGTTATCAATCGCATGATTGGAGGAAGAAGTTTTACTATCCGGCGTAGAAATAGCTCCTCCTCCTCCGGAACGAGAGGAAACACACAAATCAAACAAACCTCCACAATCACAATAACCCAAAACTCGATTTGGAAAAATCCCTCTTTAATGGAGAACCACAAACCCTAAATAGAGGTTTTCGGGGGAAGGTGATTTGATTGATCTCAGAGAAAGTCGCGATTTTTCTCTGGTTTCACGAAGAAGAAGATGAAATCTTTGATTTTTTTTTTTTTGTGGCTAACAATCTGGTTACTTCCTCTTGCGTAATGGTCTTTTTGCAATTTAGATCTGGTTTCAAGGGCAAATTCGTCAGAAATATCTCGAGCTTTGTGCAAAAGTCCCTCATTTGTGCAAAGTACCTCTTTTTGTAAGATGTTTCAAGCAAAGTACCTCTTTCTGTAAATTTTCCGCAAATACACGGAAAAAAGTCGTTCTTTAAATGTTGACGATCGAGAACTGATTAGAAAGAAGAGTAATACTTACATTCTCTTAAGACCAGGAAGTTAAAAGACTCTCA